GTTGACCGCGGCGCCCGCAAGCGCCGGGTCCTCCGACGGCGCTGGGTAGCAGTCGACGCTGAGCCGCGCATGCGCCGCGGCCATGGAGCAGAGCAGGAACTGGTCGCCGACGGGTCCGACCCAGGAAATAATCGATGGCCAGGTAGACCTGACCCGCGCTCTCGGCGGATCGCGGCAGTGCCCGGGCGATGGGGCTCGCCTGGCTCGCAGAGTAGGCGCTCGGCGGGGCGGCAAACCCAAAGCGCGGCTGCCGCGGCGCGACGCAGAGGCTGGAGGGCGAGCCGCAGCGCGCGAGGCATGCCAGCGCCAGCCCACGCCCTCGAGGAAGACGGAGCCCTGCAGGGCGACGTGCTGCCGACAGCCCGGGCATCGCCGGATTGCGCCGGCGAAACCTCGGACATGGCTGCCGAGGCCAGTCGGCTTCTTCCAGACCGCGCCGTAGGCGCGCAAGTGGGCCTGGTGCAGCTCGCACCCCAGCCGTCGAAGTTGCCTGACCAGCGGCCGCCACCTCCTCCAGAGCCCAGGGGCCCAGACGACCACGGGTTCTCCAGCACCGCGAGCACGCCGTGAGCAACGCACGGTGAATCCAGCGCACTCGAGGCCGTCCTTCTGCCCGCGCTCCGTCGGGTACATGGCGCGCCCGATGCGACGGTCCAGACGAGGCCGCTCCTGATCCAGCCGACGACCGCGTCCGCGACGGCCAGCAAGATAATGTCGAAGTGGGCCCCGTTCTCGATGTCGAGATCGGCGCAGCCGCGGCCAAACCCTGGGGCGCGACCGCAGCGGACAACCGCATGCACCCGGCGAAGATCTCGAGAACGATCTTCCCGCAGCGTCGCAGGCCAGGCGGGCTGCGCACCTCAGCCCGAAGCGGGCGCGCTGGCCTGCCCGGCCGCGCCACTCGGTCGCCCCGATCACGCTGGCCGCAGGAGGCGCCGACAGCGGCGAAATCCTCTCGCGCTGGGGGCCCGTCACCTTCGGCCTCGCCGACCACGGTGACCCCCGACGGCAGCCCCTAACGACGACGGTGGCCCCCAAGCTCCGACGCCACGGTGACCCCCCACCGGCGGTCCGTCGTCACCCATGACGGCAGGTGGCCGCAGGCGGCCCAGGTCGAGGTCCGTGGCGGCCCGCCTGCGGCGGACCTCTCCGGTGAGGCATCTGTGAGGCGCAGTCGCTCGGGTTGCGGTCCGTCTCGATGTGGCGGCGAGCTCAGCGAACGATAGCGCCCGCCTGCTGAACGGCCGCCCTTCGCGCAATGGCCAGGAACTCCCGCGACCTCGCTCGGCCGCGGCCCATAGCGCGGACCTCGGATCCGTTGTCCCCGAACGACGGCAGCACGCGCGAGTGGTTCGCAGGGCCCTCGCAGAAGCCATCTGGGGACGCGTCTCAAGGTTGTGAATATCGCCAGGTAGGCGCCGCGCACCAGCGGCCAGGCTCCCCCGGCACGCGGCCCGCGACCTCCACGAGGTCGGCCTCGGCTGCGAGGGCGAGCGGACCAGTCGGCAGTGGCGCAGCCAGCAAGAAGCCCCGCGCGTAGGCCGTGAAGTCGCCGGTGACCACCGCGCCCTCGGCGACTGGCACCAACGCGCCTCGTGAGTCATCTCCTCGATTATCTGGCAGCGGCCGGGGGTCGGGCTTTCTGAACCACCGCATCTCGTGATACTGAGCGGCCCCCCAAGCTTCCTGCGGCTCCGCGTCGGTGATGTTTGCAGCGAAGCCCCGGGAGCTGGAGTCGGAGCAATACGCGACGCGCGCGATGCTCCTGCGCCGGCAAGCCCAGGGCGACCCGCAGCTCCACGACCGCAGCCCCGTCGAGGGACAGAGCATGCGCATGCGCTTGCGCGAACGCGCAATGCGAAGGAACATTGACGACGCCTTCCTGGGAAAACCCCTGCCTGCGAGCGTAGGTCGGTTGCCTGGCCGACCACCCGTTGGCGCAGACAAGGGTGTAACAGGCCAATCGTCTCAACCAACAGGAGGGGGAGGTGGAGGTGGAGGGGGGCGGCAGTCGGAGACTTCTCACGCCATCAGAAAACAGGAAACAGGCCGAAGAGGAGGAAAGGAGGACGGCGCGGCGTTCCAACGCAGAGTCCGCCTGTTTTCGCGAGGCCACCAGCTGTAAGATACAGCCCCTCGAAACGATCCGTTGTGGCACGGAGGCAGGCGGTTGGTAGTGTGGCAAAGAGACCCCAACAGGCAAAGCGGCAGAAAGGCCATTCGCGGGCCTACACTGGTGACCGATTTCCCTTCAGTTGGCTGGGCAATTCGGAGAGAACTACACGACAAATCACAGCGTTTCTGCGCGAACGCACGGGCGGCAACGAAACACCGCTTTGTAGCGACGCGGCCGCGTTCCCGACGGAACTCGGCGCGAGCGAGCCACGCGCGCAGCGCCTGCGCGGGAGCGCGGGTCTCGGGGCAAAAGTCCGGGCGGCGCTGAAGCGCTGAAGCAAGGGCGCGTCGCTCTCTCGGGAGCGACGCGCGCCGCCCCTGTTGCTGTCGCACGCGGATGCGACGTCGAATGCTACAGTCGGTCCGCGCTCAAGGCAGATTCGTTGGCTCCGTTATGTTTTGGGCGGGCAGAGTGGCGCCGCTCGCCGCGGCTCGCTGTCAGGGCGGCGGCAGAAGGGGGGCGGGGGCATCATGCAGCGAGGAGCGCGGGCAGGAGCGAGGGCAGAGAGATGACATGCGTTGACCAAACCTATTCTTCATCACGAAGCAAGAGATTGGAATGCTGGTAGGATCGGCACGAATCTGAGGACGCCTCCTCTTTTTCTCTCCTACGCATGTTCAATGCTCGTTGCCATTTGCGACGAACGCGCGCGGGACTGACGGGACAGAGAGCGCGAACAACACAGCTGCTCGTCAACAAGGGCTTATATTTAGGCGATGGTTGAAGGTAGCTCTGGCAAGGGAAAACAACAACGGCATAAACATTCATTTCTGTCATCCGACAGTTCTATGTGTGCGTGCCGCGTTTCCTTCTTCGACGTGGGGAGGCGGCGGGGGGCGAAGGGCCAGCAGACAGAGCGAGCATTACCTCAGAGAAACAGAGAGAGCCAACGGCAGTGCCAACGAACGACAGTTGCACCCCCCCCCCCCGCGACGGGCAGCCCAACGCGAGCAGGCGCGTGCGAGCGCCCGAAAATCGGGCGGCGCCCGCAGCCACCGCCCGCGCCGCGCACAACACGGAAGGCTTGGAGGAGGAGGGGGGGGAGGAGGAGGTGGAGGAAGGATAACTCTCAACTGCTGCGTGACCCCCTTTCAAAAGGGGGCAGTCTGCTCTAGCCCACAAGCGCAAGGTCCTGTGGGCCACCCGACGGGGCACGCGCCCCAGTGGCCAGAACCAGGAGGAGCACGTGTTCCGCGAACGGCGCGCGAGACAGGGCACGCAAGGCCGCGCTCCGCGTGCCCTGCTCGGGGTAGGGGGCGCCGGAGGCCGTGCTCCGGCGCCCACGCCTACCCACCACCCACTCCGTGGGTGGCCGCGGCGACGAGGAGCAATTTTCTCCCCCCTTGGCCCACCACGGGCAAACAAAGGGTGACGATCGGGTTGCTACCCGCCTGTATTTTTTTGGAAGGGGTTCCAGTGGCACAGGTGCAATCAGGATGGGCAGGCAGGAGGGCGGGCGGGCGGGCAGGTGAGCAGTCACACGAAAGAGAGAGAGAGAGAGAGAGAGAGAAAGAGAGGGAGAGAGAGCCAGATACGAGAGGATAATCAAAGACGGGAATGGAGGGAAAAGACAAGGAAGGGGAGCCGTGCCTTCCCTACGCCCGTCCACTCGCCCCCTCCCATTCGCCACATCGTGCCCGAACGCCCACCACATACCATTTCTTCTTCACCTCATCCCCTCTTATTCCTCGACCTCGTTCCCCTATTCTTCTTCTCCCCCATCCTCCTCAGCACACTTCTCCTCAATATCCCTCACTCATTTGCTTCTGCACCGAGCCCATCACCATCCTTTTCCGCCTTGCCCCCCCCCTCTCTTTTCCCGTCCTCGACGACAACTATCCCCTGGTCCCGATGGCAGATCTCCTCATCCCCTTGCCCTCCCTCTGGGGAGGGCACTCTTGTACCGATACCGCTGCTTTCCGGAGCTCTCCCAGGGTGCGTTCTACCCAAAAAAAAACGTCGGGGGGAATCGAGGCGTTGTGAGGAGGCCTCTCCAAGACGAGCACCTGGTCCGCTCTCCCCCCCGTTCCCCTGATGGGCAACGTTTGTGGGGGACCAGCTCAGGGGGGAAACATCGAGCTGGATTCGGCGACGCATCGCAGATTGGTCCGCGGCATCGTAGGCCCAGATAGCGAAACCGCCCGTCCTGGGCGGAGTGGGCTATCAGGCCCCTATCGGCGATGAATGGGCGATAGGGGGTCGGTACATCCCCCCCGAACGTCGCCCCTGGACCTCCGTCCTGGACAGCTGCTCCCTCACCGAGGGCGCTCGGCAAGTCCGTGTCGTGACAACCCCGCCGTTGGCTCCTGACACCGCGTGAATCGTTCAATCTTCGGCGGCTTCTCGAAACTTGTCGCAGTGGACCCCCTGCCAGAAGGCCAGGTGGGGCAGTTCGTATGGCCTTCTCCAGACAGGCCTGGGCCAGCTCGACTCGCGAAACCAAATCGCATCGGGAACGAGTAGGACCGCCAGCGGGTCGTCCAGGATCGAATGAAAATCGGTCGCTGCCGCGTCGGCACGGCACCAACCTGCCGTACCTGCAGCCCCGGGCCGACCGCCCGGGACTCGGCTCTGCAGCGACCGTTCGGGACGATCCGGGGACCCCACGGCACGCTCTCGACGAGGCGCAGCTGATGAAAACCGCCCTGGGCTTCGAAGACTTCCGAGAACATCCGAAAACTGTCGACGACTTCCCCCCCCACCTGAGCCCATCCCCCCGCACGTTGCCCCGGGACCTCCGTCCTGGACAGCTGCCCCGTTCCCGAAAGCATCCCCGCCCGAGGACGACCGCCCGGGCTACCCACTCTCCCGCGAGAATCGGCTCCTCGTCCGCGGCCGCGGCTTCCTCTCGCGGCGCGGCGCGGCGCGGCGTCCTCCTCGTCCTCCTCGGCCTCCGCCTCGTGCTCATCCTCCCCCCCTTCTCCTCCGCCGCAGTCGCCCTCGCCCTCGCCTCGCCCTCGCCTCGCCCTCGCCTGGCCCCCCCCTCCTCGTCCGTCCTCCCACGTTCCCTCACTCCGTCCACCCCCCCCGCCCCCCCTGTCGCCTCCTTCACCGTCGTCCCGGCCTCCCCGCCGCGACCCTCGCCTGTCTTCCGCCTCCGACCCGCGGAAAGAACAGCAGGAACATACCAGGTCGGAACTCCGCACGGACCTCTGGGGTCGGCTCTGGGCACCCCTCCCTGGCGCGCGGAGCGGGCCAGGGGCGGCCCCGGCGGCCCCAACGCCGACCCGAGAAATCCGCGCGAAGCTCCGAAAGTGCCTGGTAGGCCGACTCTTTCCACTGCCATCAGCGTGGGCCGAGGGCTGCTGACGTATGGTGGTGCTTTGCTGTCTGCGAGGCGCCGACCGTCCCCGGCTATCGCGGTGACCGTGGGCATGAGCCCGCGAGTTTCTGTACGTGCAGTTCGCTCCTCTTCGATGCCCCCCCCCCGCCCGCCCTCCGCACCTCGCCGCCTGAGGGTGCGCGACGGGGAGGGCCCCCGAGCCCGCCGGGGTCCTCGCCGAGCTCGGCGGCCTTCTCGCCGTCGGAGCTTCTCACGCGGAAGGCCACCTCGCGCGCCGGGGGCCCGCCCGGGGGCACAGGACTGGGAGGCAGGGGAGGGGGGGAGGGGGGGGGAAGAGAAAGGGGGAGGGAGGGTATCGTTCGGGATAAGGTTCGGCCGAGAATTCTTACTAAAGTCGGAGCAGTGAGAGCTTGCTAGATCCGTGCAAACGGATTTGGGAGTGCGTTCCTCCCACAATCGAATTACCCTTGGACGTCCGAGGATTGGCCTTCTTGCACGGACGGGAGGGGGGGAGGACGAAGGAGGGGGGAGGAGGGGGAGAATGGGGGATCGGGGGAAGGATATCTTGTTGGCGTAAGCCAAGTGAACCAGCAGGGCTCGTACCGCAAGCGGCGTGTCACAAGACAGCACGAGACGGAAGCAAGTGCGCGCATCCAGCGGGAAGGAGGGGAGCGGATGCAGAGGGAGATGGAGAATTAGATGGAGAATGGAGAATGGAGAGAGGAGGACGACGGCGACGAGGGGCACGCTTGCCCGGGGGCAGCATGAGGGTCTATGTAATTACCGCATCTTTCCGACCTTTCCTCCTCTTCCAACTCGACCACCTCCACCGTCTCATCCGCAACCCTCCATTCGCCGCCTCCACCCTCCTCCCCCCCTCGTCCTCCAACTGCGCCCCCCCTCCTCCTAAACCGTTGGAGCGGAGGACAAGACACACGGGGGGGCAGGGAAGAGAAGACGGGGGGGAGGGCAAGATAGGCGGGAAGGGCGGGCGGGACTTGACCATGGGAGGGCAGAGAAGGCGGCGACGTGCTGGCATGAGGGCAGGAATGCGTGCGTTGTAGTGTCATCTTCCTTCTGCTCGTCATCACCAAGACCATCATCATCACCATGTCCCTCATCCTCGTCGCCCTCCCTCGTTCTCCTCTTGCCCGCACCCCTCTCCATGCTCTGGGCCCAACGACGGGAGAGGGGGCAAGCAAGAGAGTGCTGGGGAAACATGCTGGCTGCTTGCATTGAGACTCCAAGAAAGACGAGCACTGCAGATCAGACGCCTGTCCGTGTGGCGCAGAAGCTCATAGCGAAAGGAGAAATGAGTTCGAAGGAGAAGAAAAGGAGGATCAGCAGTGCGAATGGCAGTAGTGCATGAAGGGAAGAGAATGTGGAGAAGAGGAATGAGTATCAGCATCATGGGCAGCAGCAGGGGCAGGACAAGGGGGACAAGAAGAATGAAGAGGAGCAGCAAATGAGGGGGAGGAAGAGGAGGACGACGCGGATTGGTGACGAGGGGCGACGGGTCAAGCTGAGAAATAGAAAGCGGGACGAGAAAGAAGAGCAAGGCATGTTCGAGGCGCGGCCAAGAGATCAGTGCGCCCATCAGCGCGGCTAGCCCTTGCCTACAGGCGCCGCTCGGTCAAGGAAGCGGGCCGTCAAGCGAGCCACCTTGTGCGGCTCCTCCCGGGCCGCGCCGGGACGATGAGGGCGAAGGATTTGGCGAAAGAGGATTCAAGACAGAAGGGAGAAGAGCGGGATGAGGGACGAGGTCCAAGAGGGACAGGATACTGAAGGGGAGGAGGGAACACGAGGTGACGAGGGAGAGGATGAGACTAGGAAAACGCCGAGGAGCAGAATGGTGAAGGGGAGAAGAGATGGAGGGAGGAGAGGGGTCTCACTTTTCTCTTGCTCCTCCTTGAGGGGCTTCGGCGACCCTATCGCCCTTGCTCCCCTTCGTCCTCGAAGATGTAGTAGTGAGACCCGCCGACATCGTCGAAGAACTCCACCTCGCCACCTCGGCAGCCCGACGAGGCGGTCCTCGAGGACGAGGCGAGAAATAAGGGAACGAGGACAACGAAGAAAACAAAAAACACGAATCGAGGCTGAGCGAAAAACACGGGTGCTGATGGAAGAAAATGAGGGGGAAGACGGAGAAGAACGGAATTTGATAATTACGAAAGGATGCGCAAGAACGTTACGGAGGCGGCGGGATACGTGTGAGGAGGGTGGGCATGAGATTGCATTCTGGTTGTGGGGAGCAGGAGGGAGGAACACTGGAGGCGGGCGGAGCAGAAATAAGGAGGGGATGCGACGGATGACCAGTTCCGCCCCCTCGAGCGGGAGGAGGGAAAAGGGATCAGGGCGGATGGGGGCAAGAATTATGAGGCGGGCGGCAAGAGGCCGTAAGGAAGGAAAGGAGGGAGGACGGATGGGGACGCCCGGCAGCGGCCACGACTCCCCCTGCCCTCCTCCTCTTCCTTTCCCTTTCACTGACCCTCATTCCCGCTCCTGAAAAAATGCCCTTGCCTCCTCCCCCTTCCCACGCCTACTCGCACTATCCCTACACCCCCACTCTCCTTCTCCCTCCCGCCAATCGCAGTCAGTTCAAATCCCCTTCCTCCTCCACGGTGAACGAAAAGCATGATGGGTGATGGGGGCGGCGCGGACGAAACGGAGAAGGGGATGAGGAGGAGAACGAGGCATGAAGCAGGAAGGAGAGGAGGCTGAGGAAGGGGGGGGGGACAGATTGCGTGACAAAGAAGGAAGAATTGGCGGCGAGGGCGACGAGGAAGGGGGAGGAGGAACGAGGGGAAAATATGGGGAAGAGGCGCAGGAGGCGGGGGAGGAAAAGTACGAGCAGGACGACGGGGAGGCGGAGTAGAGAGGGAGGTGGGAGGAGTGGGGGATGACGGGGGAGGAGATCCCACCTGCCTGCCCCGCCGCTACCCACTCGCCTCCTTTTCTCTCAACGAAGAGCCATTCCCTGATTCCCGTCCACTGCCCCGCCCCCTCCTCTTCTCCCAGTCCGTCCCGTCGCCCCTCCTGATCCGCCACTCCTTCTTTACTTCAGGAAGAACAGGGAAGGACTAGATAAAAGAAAAAGGAGGGGCAATGGATGAGGGATGCTGGAGGAGACAAAGGGGGAGGAGGGGCGATCTGGAGGAGGGAAGAGGAAAAGAAGAGGCGCTGACCATGGCCAGCAAGCTGGAAATGCGTGGTCACACCCATGCCCACATGGGCAAACAAGGGGGCAACCTCGTATGCGCCAGTGACCCTGACACCTGCGAGGCACTGTAGTGATTTAGGTCATGATTGAAATCCGTCTCTAGAGCCCGCGGAGCACACGGCGCCAGAGATATGTTTTGCGAGCGGTCATCTGCTGCTCACATCTGCCTCTGAGATTTGACTGCTTGGGCGAGCCAGGCCCAACATAGGCCGCGCACCGTGTGCATATGTGCAGCACATCGCCGCTGTCGCATGGCAGGCCGACCACAACATGGCCTTGCCTCTCCATCTCTCCGAAATCCCAGTCCCCACGGACACCCAAACAACCTGACGCAGGGGGGCGGAGCTGCGACCGAGAGGCCTTAAGACAGACACTGCAGCGCCAGCCAATTCTTTGGATTCCCAAGCGTACTTCGGGCGGTCAGGGTGCCCCACTCGGGCCCGCCCTTCCGGCAAATACTCCACATCTTTAAGATCGAACCTCGGCAACGAAAAAACAGAGCCGCGACCAGCTTGCAAACCGTGCACTTGCTATTAGCAGCACGTTGTCCAACTGTTGCATATGCTCGGCCGCGGCGGCCGCGTGGAGGGCGGGCCCCAGCTGTCGCAGCTTGGTCGGCTTGGAAATCCCACCAGCCCCCTGGGCGTCGGTGGTTTCGGGCGTTTCCTCTTCCACACCTCCCTCTTCCCATTCGGGGAGGGGTTTACCCCTCCCCCTGCCCCCTCCCCGTGGACCTGGACGGGAGGGGCGGGGAGGTGTCAGGGCGTCCAAAACGGCCTCGGCGAGGAAGCCAAAATCATTGATTGTATTAGGGTTGTGGCCTCATTTTGGCCTCCTGAGGGTGCAACCCTAATTGAAGCTCCCCTATTCTTTGATCGACGTCCTCTAAGATGGCCCCAAGAAGCGCCCAGGAGGCCCCAAGAGGCCCCAAGATGGCCCCAAGAGGTCCCAAGATGCCCCCAGGAGGCCCCCAAGAGGATCCCAAGCGGCCCAAAGAGGCCACCACGAGGCACCCAAGACGCCGAAAAGCCTCTCAGGACGACCCTCTACTCGCCTGAGCGTCGTTTCTGGACGGACTGGTGGGGATGCGCGAAGAGAATTTCCTCTCCGATGCCTCATCTCGCACTCTGGGATACTGTATTCTGCCAGAGACAAGTGCGCTTTGATCTCGCTAACAGACTGGATGAGATGCGACGCGCGTAGCCCGTGCAGGAGCAAACCCGCATAAGGCCTCTGATAGTTCATTTGGTCACCAGGGGTCTGTTCGCCTGCGCACGCACATTCGCACAGTCCGTGTACATGGCACACAGGCCTTCGACAATTTGACTGGCACACCCGAAGGCAGCAACCTCCCCCGCCTGGGACGTATGGGGCAGGCCGGCATACACCGCGCCAACAACTCGCCCCATGAACCTGAAAGCTCTATCGAAAACCGCAAGCCCCCAGGCAGCCCGATTCAGCTCGGACACGACACATTGCGCCAGTCTCGTGCTCAGCCAAGTGATTGATGACGTCGTGCCGCGCTCGAGTCCTGAAGCGGCGAAGCAAAGCGACAGTCTCGCGCGCGCGATCCGTCGGACGCCCTCTGTGCTGAACCAAAACGTGTACCTCAGAAACATTCGGGCGCCAGCGTGGCGAACGCAACGGTGTTACCCACATCAAATCATGGCGCGGGAACCGCAATCACCGCCCCCGTCTCGAGGGCGCCCCACTTTCCCGAAGACGCCAGGGTCGTCACCCATGATGGAAAAGACAACCGCCGCGGTTCATCCTCGTTCCGCTGCGCGGGGTTTCGTTTCTGCTGCAGACGGGCGAGCGCGAGGCATGTCGCCGGTCGATCCAGTCCTCCAAAAACAGCGCCCGCAGGCAACGCAACGGCCAGGCAAATCGCTGACTACGGCTCGAACCCAGCCCGGGAACGCGCAGCCGAACTGGGGGAATCGAGTGCGGGCTGAACCAAACGAGTTTGAGCCTATACAGCGGCCGAATTCGATAACGGGCCCAGCAAACAAAATCCGAAACATTCACCAAAGAAGCCGACGTTCTTCCGATGAGGGAGTCGCGGCGACGCTGCCGTCCACACACTCCCAAGGGACCATTCACAAACGCGGGCCCAACCGCCGATTGCAATGACAGAAAATGGTCCAAGGTTGGATTCCAGCGTGGGTCTGTTAATATAGAGAGGGTCATGAAACAAACGTTGCGACACATATTCTGCGTATCTGTGCATATGCGGTCTGGCAAATCGGGGCGGCATCATCGCGACGCCAAGGGGCGTCGCGGACTCGAGCCTTTGGCCTGGAAACACGAAACGCACGATTACCCATATCACGAAGTTCTGCAACCAGTCACTGTGTTCTGGGGGCGCACGGACACGCAAAACACTGTTCAGCTAATCGTTAGCTGGCGCCCGCCTCGAACTCATGCCCCACCCCCCGCCTCTTCCAAATATCCATTCGCTGTGGCCCCGCCCTCCTCATGCCCTCCGACTGCCCCGGTCCTCATCGTGCCCTTCATCCACACTGCTCCCCCCATGTGCCAATTCACGTCGTTCCTCGTCGTCCTCCTGCGCTGGATTCGTTCCCCCATCGTCTACATGCCCGCCCTCCTCCCATCCTCTACGCCCTAATGCACATCATGCCCCCAACTTCTGCCCCCCCCCACCTCCCTCGCCCTCGTGATGCTGACACCGATGATGCAGATCCTCCTGGGCTCATTTCCTCCGCTCTCGTCCAGTCCCGCTCATCCTTGGCCCCTCGGCCACCCCCCTATCGAACCCCTTCCTTCCCACAGCCCACCATCCACACCCCCCCGCGCCTTTGCATGCCCAGACCACGGCCCCCTCCTGGACCAGCCGGGAGACCCGCGGAAACTCCCGCCCATAGACCACTCAAGCGAACGGCGCGCAACAAATGCACAGTTGGAGACACGAGCTGTGTATTTCGACCGCGCACGACGCTCCCCCTGGACCAGCCGGAAGAGAAACGCGAAAGTTCCCGCCCATTCAACACCACCCGCGAGGGGCACACTCCAAATACACAGATGGGAACGAGATCTGTGTACACAGATCACACCACGATCTGTGTAAACAGCGGGCCCACACACGAAAATACACAGTTGAAGACACAAGCTGTGTACACAGATCACACCTTGATCTGTGTATTTCGAAAAGGTAAACGCTTGCCACCTCGAGGGCGCCCCGACTTTGCCAGCCCAGAACCGAGGTTGACATGCCCAGTTGGGGGGGAATGCGAATACACACTTTCCCGGCCCAAGGCGCCCCCGAGAGAACCGCAAATACACGCTTCTGTGGCCCACGGCGGCCGCGATGCAACGCGGCGTCAAAGCGGCCCCCAACGGCCCGAAGACGCCCCAAAAGACCTCGAAGGACCACGAAAAATGCCGCGCAGCAGTCCGAAAACACGAGAGATGTCACATGTCACGGACCTCTTAACAGTCAAAGTTCCACGCGTCGCCACATAGACCACTGCTCCGGCAGGGGGGCGGACCTTGCCGTAGGCACTTATAATTTACATGTTAGCGATGCGACTGTGCTCGGCGGCCGTGCCGCCCGCATTTTGGGTGCGCCCCGAATTCTCGCATTGGCAATCCCCTCTGTTTGGTTGCGCCGCTGTGCTCGGATATCGAAAAAGCATTTACCGCTGACGCGGGCACGCGGCACCAGGGACTTCATTTTTCGAACAAGGAGGGCGGGCGAGGTAGGACTACGGACGGTGGAGCAGGGAGGCAAAGAGGAACGAGGAATAATAAGGCAGGTGGGAAGGGGCGCTCCCCCGCCCGAGCCGCGGACGCTTTCGACACCATCCAGGGGAGGGAAGAAAGGAAAGGAAACGGAGCAAGGGCGAGGACGACGACGGGAAGCAAATGTCCCGGGTCCGCATATAGCCATATGTCTGCGACTCGGGTGCGCGCGCTTTCTTCGAGGCACTTCAAGCCGGACCCATGCTGAATTCACTAATTCCTCAAAACTGTGTAAACACTCTGTCCTCTGTTCCCTCTCCTGAACATCCTTCCACATCGCGCTGCTGACTTCTTTCAACGACACGGCTACAGACGATATGACTACAAGGGCTCTTGCTGGGAGGCGTTGTCTTATTTTCGCGCACTGGCCTCTCGTGCAATTGCTGCCATCGAGGAGTAGCAAGCGGCATACCTATACACTTTGGCACTCCGCGCTTGATCGGCGCTGGGCCCCCTGACGGTTCCTCCAGCGTCGCCCCCTGCTCCGCGCGCCACTGAAGGGGGTCCAGCGCCGATCCAGGAAGTCGCCGCAGAACTCCGACAGATGTTGTTTATGCCGTTGATTATTCTTCGATCCAAATCGTTGCCCCCTCGCTTTCGGGCCATAACTCGAGTCTCCCGCGGCCGTTCGTCACGATCCGGGCCACCCCGGGAACGCTCTCGGCGAGGCGCAGCTGCTGCTGCCTGAGGGCATCCCGAGGCTGCAAAACAGCCGAGAAGAAGGAGGACTGTTTTTGACTGCTTCTGCAACCCGAAACCCATTCCCGAAACGAGGAGGAGGAGGAGGAGAAGGAGAAGGAGGAGGAGACCCCGCCCAAGGCCGCCCAGCTGCGCGGCCATGTCGTAGCTGCAGCGCGCCGGCGTGATGAAATCTGGCGTCCCTGCCACGGCGCCGCAGGGTCACCAGTCCTCTTGGCCCAAGTCCCCTCCCTGGAAGACGAAGGCAAATATCGACGGCGACCCCAGGGAATGAAACCCCATGATCGCCCCCTAACGTAACCACAAGATGACTCAAGCTGGGGCTGGCGGCAGAGGGCACACCCTGTTAATTACGCTACCGAGGAACCCCACATACCTATTCTATTTCTCATGTGTACCATCGGTGCTTCTGCTTCAGCTCCTCCTTCTCCTCCTCGGTGTCCTCCTCCTGCTGCTGCTTCTGCTGCTGCTGCTGCTTCTGCTGCTGCTGCTGCTGCTGCGTCTGCTGCTGCCGCTGCTGCTGCTGCTGCCGCTGCTGCTGCCCCACCTCCCCGTCCTCCTCCTCCTCCTCCTCCTCCTCTTCCTCCTCCTCCTCCTCCTCCTCCTCCTCCTCCTCCTCCTCCTCCTCCTCCTCCTCCTCCTCTACCTCCTCCTCCTACCTCCCAGCGCCCCCCCTGTGGCGTCGAGGACATGCCACGCCTGCCACGCCCTGGGACTGGGAGCCTGCCACGCATAGGTCCCCCACCCCCAGCGCACACCCTGTGGCGTCGAGGAGATGCCACGCCTGCCACGCCCTGCGAGCCTGCAACGCATAGGGCCCCCACCCCCAGCGCACCCCCTGTGGCGTCGAGGAAATGCCACGCCTGCCACGCCCTGGGAGCCTGCAACGCATAGGGCCCCCACCCCCAGCGCACCCCCTGTGGCGGCGAGGAAATGCCACGCCTGCCACGCCCGGGGAGCCTGCCACGCATAGGTCCCCCACCCCCAGCGCACCCCCTGCGGCGTCGAGGAAATGCCACGCCTGCCACGCCCTGGGCGCCTGCAACGCATAGGGCCCCCACCCCCAGCGCACCCCCTGTGGCGTCGAGGAAATGCCACGCCTGCCACGCCCGGGGAGCCTGCAACGCATAGGGCCCCCACCCCCAGCGCACCCCCTGTGGCGCTCAGGAAATGCCACGCCTGCCACGCCCTGGGGGCCTGCAGCGCATAGGGCCCATACCCCAAGCGCACCCCCTGTGGCGTCGACGGAATGCCCTGTGTGCTGTGCTGTGCTGTGCTGTGCTGTGCTGTGCTGTGCTGTGCTGTGCTGTGCTGTGCTGTGCTGCTGTGCGGTGAGCTGTGCTGTGCTGTGCCGTGCTGTGCTGTGCTGTGCTGAGTTGAGCTGAGCTGAGCTGTGCTCAGCTGTGCCGTGCTGAGCTGAGCTGAGCTGAGCTGTGCTGAGCAGTGCTGTGAGGAGGAGGGGAAGAGTGAGGTGTGTGAGAGAGAGAGACGGAGAGGGAGGTGTGCGGGTGAGACGCGGGTGCGGCGCGGCAGGGAAGAAAACCAGAACACCACGAAGCATGTGGGGAAATAACATTGTACATATTCACAGGGGGAGACAGAGGGGAGGGAGGGAGAGGAGAAGAGAGAGAGAGAGAGGGAAAGCGAGAAAGAGAGAGAGAGAGAGAAAGAGAAAGATGGAGGTACAGAGAGAGAGAGGATACAGAGAGAAATGCAGCGGGATCGAGATCCGAACAACATCATCGGGGCGCTGCAGGGGCTCCTCCGGGACATTCCTACTGCTGCTGCTGCTCCAGCTACTTCCTCCACTACAGGTACTGGCAACCATGCTGCTACGGCTACTCCTGGCAGATCTACTACGGCCATTGCCAGAAAAATGCGAGGACCACCACAAGCACAGCGTATACCGCTGCCACTGCCACCACAACGAACAAAACAACATACACATAATGACACTTCCACAACGCATATTTCTGTGAACCACAACCAACTTGTAACACGTGTCTACTATTGCTCCAGCTCCATCCTCTCCTACTCATGTTCCTCTCCCTGACTTGTCCAGGCAGTCGTCACCAACCTGCTCCCAATGTAAGCCCTGATCGTCATGTTGCCGCTGCTACTCGTCCTCCTCCTGGTTATGTCCTCCATAAGGGTCATCTCCAGGCTAGTGCGTCTTCCCGGTCGGCAAGGCCCTTTGCGTGGGAACGTTGCTATTTCATCCGCATCTATCCAAACTGCATAAGTCTCGTAACGAAGGAACGACATTGCTTTGCTCCCAATCCGCGCTCCGCCTCACAATCCATACCCACTCTGCTCCCGACGATCCTCCGTCCCGCGGCCTGTAATGATGAGCGCTGGCTGCTTCAGCGAGTGGAGCCGGTCGTAGGGCTTGTGGCGGTCGAGCGCCATGGCGTAGCCGCACCGTGCCACAGGGACGAGGTGGAGGGAGAGCAGGAGGAGCAGCAACAGGAGGAGCAGCAGAAAAGCAGGTTGGGGGAGGAGATGCAATAACACCTTTCCCTCTTCCTCTTGCTCGCTCCACCTCCTCCTCCCCTTTCCTCATTCTCATGCTCGCTCCCCCTCATCATTCGCCCATCCTCCTCCTCCTCTATCAATCTCCCCGTCTCGTCGTCGCCCTCCTGCAGGAGAAATAACGACGAAGTAGAGGAGGAAGGGGGAGAGGAGGCGAACAGACGCGGGCTCGCTGACGCAGCAGATAGACAACCCAGTGACGGCATCACACGGCAGACAGGCCCTGGCACACGGGGCTGCGCGCGACCAGCACCACAGACCGACGCCGAAACGCTGCGGCACTGCAGGAGGGACTCTCACGCCCCAGAATCGGAACAGGGCGAGTTGAGACAACGCCAGCCGACGGTCGGTCCCTGGGCCCTCCTGGAGGTCCGAACGCACCAGATGTCCTGCGCCGTGCCCGGCCGTGGCGGCGGAGCCCCCCCCGGGGAAGGCCCACCGCCGTGGCAGCTTGCCCTCCTCCGAAGGCCGGCGGCGCCTCCCCGGAGCCCATCCCGCCCACTGCTCCTGGAGAGCCTGCCGAGGCCAGACCGCCGCCGAGCACACACGCAGACGCCCGAGAGCCTCCCACCTCCGAGCCTCGGACTGCGGAGCTGTCAGCTCTCGCCCTCCTCCGACTCGGGGCTCTCCAGCGCCCCCCCCCCGTCCTCGCCCCCCCCCCGGAGAGGCCGCGGAGAGGCCCCGCGGCCCCCCTCGGGCCGCGCCGCGGCCGACCGTCGAACCCGCGCCGGCTATGGCCCTCTCCCGGAGCAGCTGCCCCAACGGATCGATTCCTCGAGCGATCCTCGATCCTCGATCCTCGATCCTCCTCCATCCCCCCTCCGTCGCCGCACGGGCTCGATGATCCGCGGAGGGCCGCCTCGCCCCTCCGCCGCCCGCCTCTCGTGCCGTGCGACCCGCGCGCGGTGGGCCGGCGCCGTCCGCAAAGGGGTCCGCAGCAGGGCCGCGCAGGCCCGGCCGCACGGGCCAAGAGCGAGAGGCGAAAGAGGGCGGGCGGTAGGGCGCGAGAGCGCGGTCCCGATCTCTGTTGCCCTGCCTGCTGGAGGGGCGCCGGCAGCGGGGGCAGAGGGCAGAGAGCGCAGCGGCAGATGGCATGCAAGTATCCATCATGATGTATCTCCTCAGCGCCATCATCGCCCGCCGCCAGCCTCCTCTTTGCACCTCCTCCTGCCGCCCGCAGAGGGGAAAAAGGAGTGGCGAAGTTGAAGAAAGAGGGAGGAAGAGACGGAGGAGGAGTGGAGAGAGGAAGGGGGGGACAAGAAGGGGAGGGGGAAGGGAGGAGAAGGAGGAGTGGGAAGGAGGGGAAACAAAGAGCAGGATAGATGAGGAGGGAGATGAGGGATAGGACGAAGAGAAAAAGACAGAGCAAGAAGATGGGTTAAGTGGGAGGCCATAGAGCCGCTTCTTTTCTCTTCGTCCCGTTGGACCAACACGCGAAATGGTCGTCCGAGAGCAGCATGTCCTGCCCGTACCGGATGCCTGAGGAGGAGGAGGAGGAGGAGGAGGAGGAGGAGGAGTGGAGGAGGGAGAGGAGGGGGCACGGCCGGGCCTGTCGAGAAGACGACGTCGCTCCCGAAGAACCAGAGCGTGCAGCGGGCGAGCCGCTCCAGTAGTCGCGTGTGGCGGACCTCGGCCCCTCCCTCGTTTCTCCTCCTCCTCCTCCGCCTCCTCCTCGTTTCTCCTCCTCCTCCTCCTCCTCCTCCCCGCCATCCCATTTCGCCGCCCACTGCGCAGACGGCGGGAGGACGGGGAGCATGGTCGATGCGGTGGCCACGGGGAAGAGGGGAACAGGGAATGGGGAGGTGCAGGAATCCGGCGCCGCGGTTGCGCGATGGTGGAGTGTAAGATGCCTGTCAATTGTCTGGCAAGGTTTCAGCAATTTCCCCCAAAAGGCTGCAAGACGCCCACTAGAACCCGAAGATGGCCCAATGAGCCCCTACAAGGCTCCAAGACCTCCCCTAGATGCCACAAGAGGCCCCAAGAAGCCTCCAAAGGCCGCCCAAAGATGCCTCCAGCGAGGCCTTAGAGGCGACCAGCGTTGAGAATCCTTTGGGAAACCACATGTGTTGCTTCCAAGACTCTCTGGAAGCCGTCAAAGAGCTTCAACAGAAGCCCCAAGACGGCCCGAAAACGCGCCAAGAGAGGCCCAAGGCGGGTCAGGATGCCTCGATGATTCTCCACGACGGCCCAGGACTGCGCACGAGGGTGCCAAGATGGTCCCAAGACCAGCCCAGACGCCCTCAAGACCCAAAATCCTCCAACCGAGCCTCTTCGGGAGAATTCGGTAGCATCCCCTACATGCCCCCCTTAGATGCCCCTCTTAGATGCCCCCAAGTGGTCCCCAAGAGGCCCCGAATAAGATACTGATAGGGCTCCGACACCCTGCCCTCCGACACCCTGCCCTAGTTCAGGAGAGAACGCTGAAAGTGGAACAAGTCTCAAACTCAACCTCCTAACTGCTGCGCTGCTAAGTTGGCGCGGTGGCGGGTCGGCTGGATATGAGGGCGGGTCGTGAGGTCCTGTGGGAGTGGGAGTGGGGAGAAAGAGTTGAGGGGCATCAGTAGTGGGGGAGCAGGGTAAGGAGCCGGACGTGGAGGAGAGGGGGTAGGACGATGACGATACCAGAGGGGGGCGCGGGGGGGGGGGCTAGGGGCTAGAAGGAAGGAGGGATGAGAACGGAGGAGGTTCCCCACCCGACATCCTCCTCTATCACTATCCCTTCTCCTGTGATTGTGATATCCAGAACGCTGGAACAACTGTTGGACGTCATCACATGACAAATCCTTCTCTTCAACCTCCGCCTCTTCCGACTAACGGAAACTGCGGTGGAAGAAAAATGATAACCATTCTAACGAAACTGATGGGGAATCTAAGCTCTGAAATCAAGCCGGCATCTAGTCAATGTCGCATCAATCTGCGCGCAGACGAGTTTAGGCGTCCATTGCCTTCTTCCCATTCAAAAGACGATATACGAGAATAGCAACTGGTTGATTTATCGGGTCACATGGTTCGTCGACCCCATGGCAAGGACAGCTGTAACTAAATCAACACGGCGTGCGTAAAACTACATAACATCGAAGCGCTTGAAACTTGACGATTGTACGACATTGTATGTGGTGGCTTCTGGATTCCGCCAGGAAGAGGGTGTTGACATGACTAAACCACTGCCTGGGCGAGGCAAGGGCGGGCACGACCAGAATCACTGATGAAGCGGGTCGATACCATCGTCTCCTCACCTACTACATACGCAAGTCCGCCTCCGTGCCTGCAAAACTTAGTAGAGTGCTCCAAGGTTCCCGCAGCCCTGAAAAGTAGAAGGTTGCAAGGTTTGAAGGGCATGGTGCGTCCCCGGGAAGCGCAACCGGCCCAAGAGGGCCCCGAATCGCTGCACGATCGGTCCAAGACGCCCATGATGGTCTCCAGTCAGAAAAAGCGCCGAGGACGTCCCAAGAGGCCGCCAAGAGCCTCCCACAGGGGACCCCGAGAAGCCAAAATCATAGTTTTTCCCATTCGGTTGTTCTATGTTTTTGGGGCCCTCGATTGTTCGAGCTTCCAACGCAAGGCGTACCAAGAGGCCCCCAAGAGGGCCACCAGACGGCGCAAGAGAACTTCAAGACGGCACCAAAGGCGACCACGACGGCCCAAGAGAGCCCAAAGACAACCCCAAGGGAACACGAATGGAAAATCCGAGTCATCCGCCCCAGGAGACACCAAAGAGGCGCAAAGAGGCTCCCAAGAGGCCCCCTAGAGGCCCCCAAGAGTCAAGAGGCCCCAAAAGACCCCCACAAAGCCATCAAAGCGCCACAAAAGGCCCCCGAACGGCTCCCAAGAGGTCTGCAAGCGGCCCCCAAAAGCCCGCGAAAGGCCTCCCGCGACATCCCAACGAACATCCTAAAGGCCTACGACCCTCAACCCAGGCACGGTGGCGGCACGGTGGCCATCACTAAATGTTGGCGACATTGGCACGGTCGGGCATCATGTATGTAGGCGCGCATACTCTAAACGAATGACGTGAGATACTGGTATTTTGAAATCGGGGTTGTCGCGCAACACAGCCAGCCTTGGTGCAGGTTGGTAGCCTCCGCAAAATCAGATTTCGTTCAACGTTGTTCTGTTTTGTTCACATCTCTCACTCTCCTCCCCGTGGCATTTGAGATACCATCACGAAGAATTTGCGCCACACCCCCAGACACCGAAAACGGCGAAACACACAAGGCGCATGTATTTGATCGCACGATCTGGCCAATTGTTGTTAAACATATCCATCCTTGGCGACGAGAAAATTCCTGATGACCATCGGCAGAAATAAACAAACACGTCAACAATACATCTTGAAAACTAGATCCACAAAATCCAGAGGTCTCGACCGCTTCCCCAGGACTGGCGTGTCATCCCAATTCTTTGTTTCATGATTCCAGGGCCCGGTAATGACCCCAGAAATTTACACTTACGGGTTCTTGCTTAGACTACTTCAACGAACTGTTTGGGTGTGCCGAGGCTTTCGGCTGGAGCCCGGTTGGAGGGCGCACGTGGGCGCCTGGTGTTGGGTCGGCGTGTTGCGACTAGTGCTTGCCCGTGAGCGCCTCAAGCGCTGGGTGGGTATGCCGAAGTTGGGGAGAAAGCGTCTCGTGGACGACTGCCTGGAAAAAAACCTTGACACGCTGGCGACGGGGGGCATCCCAGTGCGGGGGGGGACACCCCCTGGTTCGAACCCCGCCCCCCTTCCCAGCGTCCACACAACGCGCTCTGTCCAAGGTTTCGCCTGGTGCCTGCCCGTGGGCGCCTCGTGGGCGCCTCGTGGGCTGGGCGGGTGTGCCGAGGTTTCGCAAGGTGCCCGCCCGCGGACGCCTCGTGCGATGGGCAATCGCATATATGTC